ATCCTCAGTTTCCCAGATACTGCATCTGAGGATCAGATTTGAGGTTCTGGATTGGCTGTATTTTGATTCCAAGGGCAGGGCAAATGCACAATTTCATACTTTCCCATCACCCAATAAAACAGAAACATTCCAGAAGTGTTGAATTACAAAGAGTAAAAAAAAGAGGCAGAAATTGCCTGAAGAAGTCACCTAGTCCACCCCAATCATAGGGCTGGGCTCCATCACAGGGAAGTAGGGCTTTATGAAAGCTGGATGACCTATTCCAGCACATCACTTATCCTCACTACCACCCCAGCACCTGGCCTCTTTCCCTGTGGCCATCTAAATCTGTAACTCCTTTTCCCAAGCACTACGAGCAAGGAGAACAGACGATGCCTCTCCTCAATGCAGCAGACAGTGCATAAAAGCTTCCTGTTACTCAGACTGATTTGATGAAACCTTTTCCACGGTTTTGCTGCAATGGTTTGTGAGATTTGGGGGACTGCAGAGTGGAAGCAGAGGCTGGGACACGATGCAGGTATGCTGCACTGTATCCCTTCCCCTGATTTTCCTGACAAGCCAGGCTAGCAGCACCCTTGCCATGGAATCCCCGACAGGATCAATCCCTCTCAAGGAAACTGGTGTTAAACCTTCAGCCTGTTGTAACCTATACATACAGTAACAAAGTTACGGCACTTTCCAACTTTGGCCAGGGAAGGAGCAAAAACCTTTCGCAACACTCTCCTCTTAGGCTGATACTCCCACAGCATCTCCAGTGCACGTTCTACTGTGTTGTAGCATTGCATCTGTTTAAAAGCTTCACCTCCTGGAGTCATGAAATCAATACAGAAACAACCTTTCACTTGGAGTAAGGGTGCGAGAGGAAAGTTTGTGAAGGTGTGAATCTTTAGAGGGGCAAAACTTAGAATTATAGAATTATCTTTGATTTAAAAAAAAAAAAAAACAAAACCAAAACCTTGAATTTGGATCCTCATCTCCTGATCTGGAGGAAGTCAATTTAATTTCTCAGCACTTAGGTGCGGTGTTTGACAGAGCTGCTGCAGCAGCTCTGTTCCATGTCTCATCACATCCCACTGAAGATTTAAGGCTATTTCCGATGTAAAAACATAAAAGCAGTTACGACTGCTATCCCCCCCTATTTAAATCGTCCCCTCTTTTCACGCCTTTGTCCTTTCCACCCTCAGCATTGCGCAGCGCACCTCAGCACAGCCCCGGCGGTCCGCTCCGGACAGGGACCGCTCCCGGCTGGGCACACACCTGCGCGGCCCGGCCGCCATGGCCGCTCCCTCATCGTGAGCAGCGCGCAGACCCCCACCGCCGCGGGCACCCAGCGCCACCCGCCGACCGCAAAACGGCGCCGCGGCACCATCCCGGCTCGGCGGCGCCCTCTGCCGGCCGCAGCCTGTTCCGGCGGCGCGAGAAGGGCCGGAGCACTGGGGCGTGAGACGGCACGGAGGGGTTAATGGTTCCGCTGCCTGCCTCGGGGGCCGCCGGCGGGGCGGAGATAGGGGGTCTCGGGCAGGAGGGTTTTGGGGTCTGCGTCCCCGGCCAGCCGCTCCCTGGACCCTCAGACGGGGCGTCCTCCTCACAAAGCGCCCACAGGGTCGGTGGGCCCCTCAGCTTCCTCTCCCGGGTGTAACCGTGTTGCTCGGCGGGAAGAGCACTGCCCAGAGAGCTATATTGTCACTGTCAGGTGCCACAGACCTCTCCTCCACTTGGCACACGCAAATGTAGGGGTGCCACAGGGAGCCTCTGACCTCCAGGGAGAGAGGGAATGCAGGAATGCCATCCAGGGAATGCAGGTCTCCACTTAGTGTGCAGGCAGAGGCCCAACGTCTCCCATCCGTCCCTCAGATTCTTCCTCATGCCTTGCCCCCGTGTCCCAGAGGGCAGCTCTGCATTCCCCGCTCTCAGTTCCTCATTACAGGAGTGAGCCTGAACGTAAGTTTCCTCTTCCTGCTTACCTACCCGGGGAATCCACATCCTTCCGCTCGCGAGCTGAAGAGTGTGAAGACTGTTTGGCTGGGTTCACTGTCTCCACAGTGTGCTGTCGGTGCTGCAGGCAGAGAAGGCTCCACTTTCTCACCAGCCTTTCTACCAATCACCCTCATTTTGTTTCCCACAAGGTCACAAAACAACGTTAAGAAGGGCTGTTGGCCACTCTGCAGCCTGGTTTGAACCTTTTCAGCAGGTGTTTCAAACAACCCTGCATTGTTCAACTGCACAGAAGCAGAATCAGAATCACAGAATGGTTTGGCTTGAAGGAACCCTAAAGCTCATCCAGTTCCAATCCCCTGCCATGGGCAGGGACACCTTCTACTATTGCAGCTTGCTCCAAGTCCCATCCAACCTGGCCTTGAATGCTGCCAGGGATGGGGCAGCCACAGCTTCTCTGGGCACCCTGTGCCAGCGCCTCAGCACCCTCACATGGGAGAGCCTCTGCCTAAGAGCTCATCTCAATCTCCCCTCTGGCAGGTTAAAACCATTCCCCTTGGCCTGTCCCTGCAGGCCCTTGCCCAAAGCCCCTCTTCTCCAGGTTTCTTGTAGCCCCTTTAGGTACTGGAAGCTGTTCTAAGGTCACCTCAGAGCCTTCTCTTCTCCAGGATGAATGACCAAGAAATAAGTGCTCAAGCAACCCCTCTGCCCCATCCTGCTTTTGAGCTCCCTTTCTCAATCCTTGTGACTGATGTTCTGCAGGTTTGAGCAGTAAAAAAGGACCAGGAAGACTTTTTGATCACTGCTGGAACAACCTTAGAGCCCAGAGCAAGACAGGCAGCAGTTGGCAGCCAGGCAGCTTTCCCAGGTCATTCCTTCAGTTCTGCCTCCTGGCATTGCGAAGGTTTCACCAGCAGCCCCGGGTTATTGCAAGAGACAGTGCTGAGAGGTGAATGGTGCCAATGCTGCCTGACGGGCACAGCGAGGGGTGGGAGAAGTCTGGAACTGCTGCCTGCCACAGTTCACCTGAAACCCACAGGGACGAACCGCTTCTGCCACACCAGTACCAGCCCTCACTGAAGACCCTAACACACAACTATTGCACTTGTCGCGTAAGCACAGAATAATGAAGCAAACATGAACTGCATTGTCTCAGAGATAAAGGCTGGGAGCTCTACTTCTCTGTGCTCACCTCCAGCACAGCTTAAGGCCAGTTTGAATCCCACAGGTATCTGCTGTGGGTCCAGTTCTGCTCCAGACTGTTAATAACAATATGGCACTGCAGATGAAGTGTCCCTGAGAGCACAGTGAAGGGAAATCCACTTTTAAAGACCTCATGGAACAGGATGAGACTTAAAAATAAAGCAAATAAATTGGAAAGGGTGCAAAACATCACAGCATAGCTGGGAGAAGATGAGGGAGGGGAACAGTGTGCTTGAGGTAAAATACATGCCACACGACATGGCAGCTCAGGAGGAACTTGGGCAGAAAATGATATGGAGGTCATGGTGGACCTCAAATCAAATACAGTTGACTCTCACCTGGAGATGTACCCAGGACACCCCAGAGGTATCGCTTGGGAGGCGCCAGCTGGCATCCTGGGTCCTGGTTTGGACAGAGAGAGAGACATGGGAGAAGAACAAAGGCTCAGAACAACACATAGGGTGAGGGAAGGGCGGGAGGATGTGTTTGTTTAGTCTGGCAAGCACATATCAGAGTGGCTGGACAAACCAAGTGGGTTGCCAACGCAATGGAGAAGTGCCTGCAGGAATTTGATCACCAGCCGTGTTCCTCACAGCGTGGAAGGGGAAGACGACACGAGGAACGATGGCTTACTTTGCTGCTGAGGTGATTTACCCTAAGTATCTGGGGACATCCTCACTACCTGCAGCGTGTCCCGGGGGCTGCCTCCCTGCGGAGGCCAGGGTCTGTCAGCAGGGGACTGTCACCAGAGCCTCCCGGGAGAGGCCCCGCCGCCTCCCCCAGGATCTCACTCTGGAAAACCCTCGTTTCCCTCCCGCAGAGCTCGGCTCTGCTCTGCTTGGCCCAGCCTCGCTCCGGGACCAGGACTACGACCTCAGTCTCTGTCCCCGCCGCCTCACGGAGCCCTGACCGAGGGCCGCCGCCGGCCGCCACATGGCACCGCCCCGCTGTCCTCGGCCGCTGCTTGTAAGGGAAGCAGACAGGGCAGCCCAGCCCAACGGCGCATCTCGTTAATTACCCTAATGAGGCGGTGACGCAGCCTGGGTTAGTAGGAGACATCGCTCTGGAGGGGGAGCCGAGGCTTTATAACCCCAGCACATGCTGCAGGAGCAAGCTTCCTCCATTGCAAGTATTAAAGTCGGGCCTGAGGCCTAAAACTCAAGGCTGACAGAGCACCTCAGGTACTTTAAGGAAATGGACTGATACGCGGATAGTAAAGTAGGTATGCTTTATTCAGCACTGAGGTGCATGGGGATTGCTCCTCCTTTCTAAAGATACTATTTAAACAAGAATGTCTTAAATGTTAGCTGCCTAGCAGCTGTAACTCTTACAATTCTGCTTCACCATTTTAGCAACTTTGACTCCTATGGTTCTGCTTCACCAAAGTACAGCGACTGCTTAAGCAAGCAGGCACAATGTTGACCCTTTATTTCCTGGTATCAGGACTACCCAAAATAGCCGGGGTTTTTTTAAATATCAAAAGCAGAATTAAGGGCTGTTCTTTACCTTGTACGCAGAAAAGTAAGACGTCATCCCCCTCTCCATTCTGCTCCTATATAAGGTTTTTAATAGGAAATATGCCCATGAATGCTATCTAAGCACAATGCAGCTGCTTAAAACACTGCGTGCATTTAGGGCTTTAAATACGCACTTACAGAGAAGCAACCTTCTCTGATTTAGTAAATGCAGTCTTTAAATGTAGGCCCATACTTAACACTAAGATGTTTACTATGATGTTAAAGCATGAATTTCATTTTATTAGCCATGGCAACAACAGCAGCAGATATTAAGTGCATTTATACGTCAAAGTTCTCCTGCAAGGCTTGCTTGTGGCTAAAACAAACATACCAGAAGGTCAGAGGTGCTTAAAGAAGTAGTTTATTGACAGTATCTTCACAAATAAACAGTCTAAAGAAAACTTCAGAAATCTCTGAACTTAGAAACCTTAAAATTGTCTCATTGGCAAAATATTGAAAAAAGAAAGACCCAAGACCAAAGCAGTGGAAGCTGTAGCTGTATTTTAAACTTTCCTCATGCCAACATTTTGGTTCAGTCCTTTAGTTTTGTAACACACATCCAACCCTTCAGCACAATGTTAGTGAGTCACAGTACAATTTTCCTTCAGTAAGGGGATCTCCAGCAATGAGATGTTTATTGTTTTGGCAAGCACCTCCCTGAATCCTGTCAGCTTAGAACTTGAAAGGTAACATCAGCAAGAAATAGCTTTGTAAATACTCCCTCCGAGCCAAATTATTCTGGTATTAACCAAAACCTAAGATTCTCCCCAACCGATCCCAAGCATACCATGTAGTAGTACAAGAAACTATCAGCATGCATTTTAGAGGTCATTTTTGTACTTCAGCTCTGAACTTAAAAACCAAAAAGAGGGACAATTCTGATAAAAATGTACTCGGATATTTCATAACATTAATATTTATTGCTTTATATGAATACTGTATTGAAAGCCCAAGCATTCAGTTTACACACAGGAATTATACAATTATATACCGTTCCACAATGGCAGTGAGCACTCATTACAATCTACAAAAAAATCTACTTTACAGAAATTTAAAAACTCTAAATATCAAAAAGGTACAGTTGAAGAAACAGGTAGAAATTTGGCAGCCAGTAATTGTGACCGGGAGGTTGCAGCTTGCATGTCTTTAAATATGGGAGCTGGAAAATACCAAGAGTTTAAAGCAGTAGTTTGTGCTTTGAGCTGGTCTGGAAAAGAAAACGTAACACTGGCTGTCAAAGTAGCATGTTCAAAAATACTTAGTTCACTTCCAAAATGTTGTACAAATTCATGGTGATTTCTCTGCACCCCTAAACCTTTCAGTCTTCAGCTCAGGTACATAACTATGGTCATGGATTTATCCTTCCAGTACAGTGGTGTGAGTTTACCAATGCTATCCGCCTACCTTGGGGTAACTGAGACTTCTCTACAATGTTCACAATGTTCCAAGAAGCATTCAAAAAGTACCTGTTTTGTTTCTTCCAAGGTATTTTTCTTATCATGTTTTCAAACATTTCTCCTACAAAAGTTGAAGCTAATGTTTTGATTACAATGATCTCAAGATAAAGCACATTTTCTCATAAATAAAATGAAATCCTTTCACTCAGGCACCTCAGAAGTATACAAAAGTGTTGTAATCTGAACAGTTCTCTTGGAATGTGTTTACTCTGGTGTTTTCAACGTAGTTCCAGGGTTTCACATGGGCCAGATTTCCTTTTTTTCATTTTCCAGAGGCAAAACAAAGTGCCTTGAGAGGTGAATTCTGTCTTTCCCTATAGAAAAAAGTATTTACTGTGTTCATCTTTTATAGAAACAGAAAAATATACCATTTCCCCCTTAGAACAGTGAGGGTACACGTAAGTGTGCATGCGTGCATATATATGTGTGTGTGAAATGTAACACATTTGAAACACACAACATAAGGTTTCATAGTGTGTATTCAAAAATCTGGAAACCAGCATGAAACCCCGTAAGTTCACATGTCAAATGTTCAAACTGTAACCAAAACATGAAGTAACTGCTAGAGCTGTCAGAAAAAGACAAAGACAAAAAAAGCTTTCTTGCTTACATACAACTAGGTGTGGTAATCTCCAAAAAAGTTGTCAAAATTATAACTGCCTTCCAGTTTAAAAACTTTTATTCTAAATAAAAAAAACTATACACAAACCACTGATTTGACCAAACGAAAGTTCAGCGGTAAGCAGGACCTGAAGGAGCTGGTAGTCACAGTTCTTATCACGTACAACTCTTTCAAGGTTCAATCCATGGAGAAGTTTATTTTACAACCTGCTTTTTTTTTCTTTTTTTTTTGTAAAACTAAAGGTCCACTTTATTACATAAAATTATTTATACAGTGTAAAACCGGAGCCTTATGGAAAATACTGCATCTAAGTGTATTTAAATTATTCTTGCTCCATAGGTTCATCTGCAGCTTCTGTGGCTTCACTGCTATTTTCCATCGGGGTCTCTGACGATGTCTCTGGAGTTTCACTAGCATAGGACCCTGACTCCTCTGCTTCACTGCAGTCAGCTCCACTACCGGCAGATACACTAGCTGCACTGTCATCCGAGTGTAAATCCTTCTCTGATTGAGACTGATCGGACTCCTCCATCTGATTGTTCTCCTCAGAGGTCTCTTCATTCACAGTTGAGGATTCAGTGTCTTTTTCTTGATCTTTTCTGTCTGGACCAGTGTTTCTGGGAGACATGAAGGACTCTAGAAACAGTGAAAGTACAGTATTACTGAGGCATTTTAACCATCTGTTAACCCTGCTACTCTCCATCCCCAGCAATACTTCTGCAACACAGCCTGGGACAAGCCCTGATGTTATTAGAAGACATAAAGTATTAGCCAGCATCATGAGGACAGCCAAAACCATCCTAATACACCATAAAGTCCATTATTTTAATTAAATAGGTTGTTTTGCTTAATTAAGCTTCAGTGCATAAAGACACAAGCTAAGGAGTATTTTTAACTTGTTTCCCCACACTCCTTCACTTGTGTTCAGCTGCAGTCTCTCAGAAGCATTGAAGACATCAGTGTTCCTAGTGTACAACCGCCATCATTTAGAGAAATATTTTCCAAATGCATGAGTCCCAAAAAAATAATTATTAAAAGGAAACTCTGTAGGATATAAAAGAAATAAGTATTTTGTTTTAATTAGGTACAGGGCCTGCCTTATAGTGAGGCAGTTTCTACTGTTCTAAGGATCTGAAGAGATTGTTGCTCAGCTTCCTAATTCATATGGAAAATGAACATAATTCATTTTTGACATGGAAAGAACACAGCTTTAATCTGTATTTCAGTAATTTATATTATTAACAGTCATAGACAGAACCCACCCCCATTCTACAGAAGAACAAATCTCATGACACCCCAAAGTAGTGATGCTCAAGTTCTTTGTGCATCATTACACCCCTTGTGTCACTTACTGCCCAAGAGGATTTTAAGTACATTTTGTAAATTTAATAGAGATGTAGAACAAAGAAAGACAGCAGATTGCCAAGTAATGCAAAACTGAAGGATGAACAAGCAGTCCATCTTTATGCACAACTAGAGACATTCAGCAATCCCAAACAGCACTGGCCTCCAGCAAAAAAAATCCCATCTCCTTGGAAAATGTACACAGCAAAGGCAATAAAATCTGAAATACCTTCCTCCTCTTCCTCTGTACAGTGCTGCCTGGCACAAGTAGCATCTTTTTCTTTATCCTGAGATGTAGAGGACGTCTCTGTCTCTTCCCCCATGCCTACAGAAGCTTCACTGGAAGCAGTTTGGTTAGGTGCACCTCCGGCTTCCCATTCCTTGTCAAATTTAAGTCTTTTTACCTCATGTCCTTCTGCTTCTGCAGGATCATCTTCAGAATGTTTATTTTTTACTGGGCTGCTCTGAGCACCTTCTGATTCAGATGCTGGTGATTCACTATAAACAACAAGAACAGCTGTAGTTATTACTGAAGTAAAACATTTTGCATCATCACACAAGAAAGTAGCAGCTACCTCAAGTTAAAGACTCTGCAAGAGGTAATGGTAGAACTCACTTCACTTATTAGACAACAAAACCTCAAAGCCATTGCTCCTTCTGATTGCTGATGAAAATAGAGTGGTCAGGCTATTCTGGTGGGTCCAAATTACAGACAATGGTGGATTCCTAAACTCTATTATTGACTTTTCATTTTTACCATACATCACATACACCTACAGGATGTGTTACGGTAACTGTGGGAACTTGAGCTGTTATCTGGACACCCAAACAGCAGCAAAAGTACACCTCAAATCCTGCTGCAGATACTTGTCTGTTAAATTGTTATATGTTATTACGCATACCTGAGGTGTCCATTCTCTTTCAGAATATTTTTTGTATGTAAATGAAAAAACTGAGAATGATAAAACCAACCTGTGTTTTTTGTCTTCTGCTTGCTGCAAGCTTGAGTCTTTATGTTCCACGCTGTCTGGCAAACCATTTGTTGTCATAGGAGTTGACAAAGAAACCTTCGGTCGATTTACTGGTCTGGGAGTTCCAGGACCATTCACATTAGACCTTGAAAAAGAACAATACAAAAACAACCCATCCTTTTAGCAGTGATTTGTTCACAATAGGCAGAAAGCAGCTAGAACTTTGTTTTAAAAAAATTCCTTGCACACATCATGTAAACTACGACAGAAGTTTAAATTAAAAAAAAAAAATTCTAAACAACAAAGCCACAAAAAGGTTAAGAACAGAGTGAACAGTGTGTATGTTCATGGCTCCTCTGCCCGCCTTCCCCCAGTATTCCAGGTCACACTCCACTTTTTAAGGCTACCTATTTTTGACCAGTATAGGCAATAAGGGATCTGAACCCGGTATTTCCAGAACTACCTTGCTTTAATCCAGAGAAAGTTAACTCCCAAAACTAAACTTACCTGTCAGAATACCCTGGTGAGTTTCCTGGGAACATAACACCATTCATCCGATTTAAACTATTGGAATTATTTTTTCTAACAAAAACAAACAACAAAGTTATTAATAAAGGAATTTAAATTATATGTTTGCACAGAGTTCCCCCCAACTCAAACAGTCCCCCACTGTCAGTCCTCTAAGGGTTCTCTACTTGTACATTATAGCAGGGAAACAGGCTGGGATATGAATTCACAGTGCAACAGTTAGACGGGTATCTATTTTTTCCACCACCAGCTGTAGTACAAAATAAGAGCTTAGTGTTCAGGGATAGTACCAAACTGTACCACATCCAAGTACAAAGCTGGTTGCTCATTTCCAGATTACTACAGGTAATGCTTGCAGACCACTATCACTACTGTTAACTATTGATAAGGAAAACTGAACTCTGCACATCTGTCTTCTCAATACAACTACTGCCAGTGAAATATATCAGACAGATTCTCCCTCCTTCTAACGCAAACTTAAAGTTTCAAGGAAAAAAAGTTATACTTACTCTGAAGATGGATGTACACAACTGACAACCATGACATTCTGTAATACACAAACAATGTAAAAGTTCAGAAACAGAAGCTTCAGCTTTTGACAACACCCCACAACTAAAGAGTTACAGGATTTTGGTCACATCTGCTAAAATATGTCTACAGAAAATTGGGCTGAAAGGTACCAGCAGATGAGAGATACATTAAAAAATACTTCTGCTCCCCCTTCACAAGGTCAGGCCACAACTGCACTAGAAGTCGGTATTTTCATAAGTGAGCTGCTCTCACAATGTGACCAACACATTAAGCATCAGGCCAAAGTGTTTGTAATTTCTAACTGAAGTATCTCTGGGAAACGAAGTATTCCAAAATGCTAATCAAATTCTGAATTGCTGGAGCAAGGCTCTATTCATACACAAGCCCTGCTTTCAGAAGTGCACAAGCACTATTAGTTATTTTTGGCACAGCCATATTTCCAACGTTAAATTATTTCATGCCCACATAAAAAAGGCCAGAAATAAAGATTAATTTGGTACGTTTTGCTCAGCCACCTCTCCTCCTGCATGACACTGCAATCTATGTCTGGTTTTACATCCAGAAACCTAGCTTAAAAGTCAGGCAAGTTTCTCTCTTCAAATCAGTACATAGCCCAGTTATACAGGGGGACTTTTATCTCAAGGCCAGCTGAATTAACCCAGATGAACTTTGATGAGGGCTCTTCATAAAGCCTGAGACGTGGTTTCACAGATCTTGTTACTGGCTAAGAAATGCCTTTGTGAAATCCCCATCTCATTTATTCCTGACCATCTCCTTCACATCTTCCAAGAATACAACTGATTGCATCCACTGTAATGGGGTGGGGGGGGAGGGGGGAATCACTCCATTTACAAGTTAAACTTTCTTTGACCAAGAAGTTGAAGTAGCAACCTCAAGCCAATTTTGCCATCTGGAAAATCCTATGTGGAACTACATCCTGAAACACCATGATCTACTTTTGAATGATCCCACATTCTGAAAAAAGCTTTAAAATACTGTTAGACATCTGTATGCTTTTATGAAGGCACAGTCCTCCACAAAGAGGATTTAAATACTGAAACAAAAGACACTGGGGAAAGAGGCCTCCCTTCTCCTCCCTCTACTGGATCTAATCTGAACCCAAATGTGAAAGGAAATGCCTGATCAAAAAATTCAAAACCATTTCAGCTGATTATTTCATTTTACCTAGAACTTGAGCCAAAAAGTGACATTACACCCCCACAGACTACAGCTTGAATACTGCACAGAGAGGAGGAAAGACAACAGTTACAGCCCTGAGATTTATGTCTTAACTTTTAACATCAAATAGCAGCTTTAAAATAAGTTATGAAACAAACTTACATACTTAGAGTAGCTATTAGCTATACTATGGCTACAAGCCATAATGAAACTAACAGACCTTTGGCAGCAATTCAGAAGTTATTTAAGCAGTAGTTGTGCCTGTTTAGCTGTGTTTTCTCTCAGAAACATACATACCTTTTCCACACCTCTTAAAAATTTGTCTGTTCCTGTGTAATTCCTCCTAGGATCTGTCAGCAACTCACAGAGTCGCTGAATAGTGAAGGGGATGCTGCAAGGAAATAGATTTACAACAGTTAAATATGATTTTAATGAGTATCACTGTGAGGAAGGAACATTAATGCCTCCTCCCTCTTACTGAGAAAACAGAAAGAAAACAGTACTGACAATTTGTTATCAGCAGCAATATAGAGCAGTAACTCAAGGCCTTATTTTCCCCCCATCTCATACACCGAGGTAACAACACACCATGTTTTGTGCTCACCACCACAAAACACTCTGGTAGAATCCTAAATACAACATCCCACAACTCAAATGATCCATTAAAACAATGAAAAGGAAATCAGATTGTCAACAGGAAAATAGTTTAAGACTGTATTTATTATTCAAATGTATGGAACAAAAATGGTAAGTGATGCCAAACAAATTTGAGTCATACACTAGAGCTAAAAAAACCTCTCAATTCATAGTTTATTTCATGTTTTACAAAATACATTTACAGAAAAAGCATTAAACATTGGAATCAGTAGAACTAACAAGTCTTCAGCTATTACAAATACTCCACTTGGCCACAACTGGGCAGTATACTTATCTATTAGGAAACAGCTCAGCAACAATAACTAAATTCAGAGCAAGATACACAAACCCATATGCACCACATTCACACATTCCAGTTCCTGACAGCTCTGCACTCCATTTCATCCCTACTTACATGAGAAAGTGATCTTTTAGACAATGAATTCTTTACATATATTTACTCGTTACCTGAGATGTCACACACTTTCATTGCACATTCACAGTATCACATTTTAACAAACTTCTTACAAAAAAGTAAAATATTAAAGGTTTTCTTCAATAAAATATTGCAGACTCATACATTTTTACAGTTCGCTATTTGAAGTTGAAGCCATAAACATTTCAGCAATCAATCTATGAAGACTATCTGATACAATACAGTACTGAAGAACCGTTGTTTTTATTGGGAATATGACTGATACACCAAATCCAAAGCAGTATGTGTAGAAACTTACATACACGTGTGTATCCCTATACTGTAAGTTCTGTAAAAATCTAACTTTTATTTTCTGATGAACTCTGTACAGACTCTTAAGCCTATTTCATTAGCTAACACAGTATGTGCCTCGAGCTTAGGTCATTAGCTAAAAAGCCACATCTTAAAGATGCACGGATCTACCATTAGTTCAGTGCAAACAGGCCAGCATAGCCATGATAAATCATGCTACATGGCACTTCACTTTATCTAAAAAGCAAGCAGTAAACAGTCCCCAGTGTCAACAATTTAATTCTGTTTTTAAAGAACTGTGTATCATGTTACTGTGGAAGTTATAACCCTCAAGTGGAAGACTCTAAGGAGGTAGGCTACAATGCAGCCACCTTTGGCCCTAGTTCCAACGCCACTGTCAAAGTACAGCACAGAAGGTACATACCACATTTACCCTACCAGTTAATGCCTTCCCTTGCTATCTGCCCTGAATTACACCACACCAACTTAGCTTTACTTGACTCCTGAGAATAGAAAAATTAACTTCATCAATCAGCTGTGCAGAGTTAAAATACAGTTGATGAAGCATTAAATACATGAACACTTGCAGAAAGTAATGGTCTAAGACAACAGGCTTTCCAAAACATTTGTCTTACTATGTTATTGCTTAAAAGTAAGTAAAATGGCAGAAACCAAGTGTTTTGGCACACAGGCAAGATACTGCAGGGTCAAAATAGGGAGGTGAAATATATCTCTTCCCCCAATAGCAAAAAAAGGTAAGTACAAACAAGACAAACCAGAAAGAAGTGCTCCTTTTAACTCAGTTTCTTACATGAAGGCTTTTAAGCTTGACAATGGTTCTGACATTATTCATTTCCTAAAGCTGTCTCAGTATCAATCAAATTGTGCTGCTGTTGAGCAACTTTTGGTCAATCAGTAATCTTTCTGACACCCAAATTCATTATGATGTTCAGCTTCTGTGTAATGACCTCTTGTAATGAAACTCCTAACTCTAATTCAGTCACAAAGAATTTACCTGATCTGTTAACTTCTCCACATGGGTACACCACTAACTGTATCTCCTTTTTCTCACTGATGGCCACTTTGGGTTTGGGTTGAAAAGTCCGTAATTAGAGACTCTGTAATTTTTTGGATGGGTTATACTGTCCATTCAAAATCTATTTATTTCACAGAAATAAAATACACAGCTAAATAAGCAAGGGTCTTGGAAAGTCATTGCCTAATATGTATCCAGCTGTACCTGGCCAGTAACCTGAAGTGCCAATACAGGAACTATTTTGTGAAGATCAATAATTCTAGCTACATGGGGAATAAGCATACTCAAAGTGTGCAGCCTGCAACTAACTCCAGAAGTTGGCTTCCTATTTTACTCTCAGTTGTAAGAGGTTTGTTTGAACAAAAGCTTAAAGCAGTTCGTTTCCCTCCAAAATTTTCCACTGCAAACTGAACTTCGTTTACTGAGCAGCAGATGGCACCAAGTGTCACATTATCATCTCTGCATGTCATTCCTTCAACATTCATCGATGTTTCTGGTTGGCAAAATCCAGTTAACTTTCACATAATGAATTCTTTTCCTAACTTCTTTAAAATAGAAGTAACTGAACTTGGTGTAAGTTCATATATGAACACCAATGCAGAAATCTGTGAGCACTATGGGAATTGATCTTCAATGCTCAGAAATGCAATTAGTTCTGTGCATGAGCTGTATGAATAGTTCTAACCACTTCAAATCCTATACAAACACCACAAAACAGCATTATAGTTCAGAATGAATTACAAACCAAAGGTTCATCAGATGGACAGGATTCAGGAGGGATCTGGAAAATGACCTCTAACAACTGTATTACATAGTAGCAAAAAAATACACATAAATTAACATCTGGATTATGATGTTGCCTATTTTATTAATGTTGTGAAGACTCCTCTTTCAGAGATCCCCAATAACTCACCTCAAAACTTTCTGAGGAAGATAAAGAAAATGGCAAAGTCTTTCAAGAAGTTCCTATTCCAAAGCATTCTAAAGTACAGGTAGTATGAGAATTTGGCTCTGCAAGCATATTACACAATGTCAAGTGAGGTACAGTAAGGTTAAACCAGCCAATTTGTGTTTTCTTTGAAAGACATTTCCTCTAGAAAGAGCCCAAACCCGGGATCATTCTTAATTCATTGCTTCCTTGCCTATAAAAAGACATTTAAAATCTTTAGGTACTTTTACTGAACTCTTTCCCTGACTCTTATACAAACACCAATAAAACCATCCTAATAATAAAGTCACATCAAGTAGCTTCCTTCTCCACTACAGCACCCTGAAACGGCATCAACAACTCTAAACAAGAAGCCCGAGTATATCCAACTGCACCAACCAAAACCTGCTTTTGATGCTTTTTGGACACATCACCACATGATTCAGCTTTCACAACAACCACTGTAGGAGTTGCAGGACTGACTAAATTAGCTAGTCTACAATCCTAGCTTCTGAAACATCCCAAAGCATCATTTTCTTTAAGGTAACTAATGCACACAGCTTGCTTCCTCAAAGACTGGGCAGTTCACTTCAAAGTATGAGGAAGTTGAGCACTTAAGTGTTACAGCAATAGATCAAAATAGCAGGACCACAGACTTGTTATCCAGAGGTTTGTTTAGTATGCTTCGGAACAAGATGATAACAGCAGCCCATTCATTAGCTCTCTCCCTGTGAGAACATAACAAATTTTGTGGGCAGAGAAGCATTAACAAAGAGCTGGGGGAGGTGGGAGAGACGCATAAATAATAGGTTTGTTTTTAAATTCCTTCAGTGAACTAGCCTGGTGTAAGTACTAGCTAGCTGAGAACTTGCTGAATCTCACATTCTTAGAAGTATCCTACACAACAACAATGGGGAACAGGAGGGAAGAGGAGAGCTGATTTACAAGAGACACTTAAACTGAAAATAAATTAAGTAGCATGGAACAATGACAGTAAAAGTTACTAACCTAGCATCAAAACAGGGTACTAAGGACATGTTAATACCACCTGCAATTCTAGAACATCAGGGTTACAGGGTTATTTACTGACAGGCTGAGAAAAAATGCTGAAAAAGTCTTTTGCAAGCATTGAGACCCACAGCAGGATGACTCAGCTTATGGGAAGTCATCTAGGCTAGAAACAAGAACAATACTACACGAACTATTAAAAAAGAGACACACCAAGTGAGACACCAAAATCAATGAGGAGCTTTATTTCAAAGGAAACAAAATTTCCACAATTATGAAGCCAGCAAAGGGGACACGCTTTAAGACACTGTCAGCAGTAGATCAAATACCCCAAGTCTCTCAGTTAGCAAGCACTGCTCTATCTGTAACTTTGAATCTGGAACAACTTCAGAGTTCAAAGCCAGGGACAGTTTGCCTCCTGGCCACGCCAGGTTCATCACAGAATCACTTCTTCAAAAGCTACTGAACTGCCACAAAGGCGCTGAGAGCTGAACATAAAAGGCTTTTCAATTGGGTATTTCAAAATAGAAACCTAACTTTACTGTCTATTTTACCTGTTAAATGCAGAGTGATGCCATGCTTCACTGAATTGTGTTACTTAAAAATCAGCTACATACTGAAAACACCAAAGTGACTGATGGGTCACAGGATGTCCTAATTTTCATTCAAAGACAGAAAAATAAAGTAAAAGTTCTGAAATTACTATCATGTATTTCCAAGGTATGTATTTTGCTTCTGCCCATCTACTTGAGGAAGGAAAACGAACAGTCACAGATAGATACTAAGTTAAAACCTGAGAAAACACTTCTGTTATCCTGATTTTATAAAACAAATCATACATACCCATTAAATCCAGCAACAATTTTCAGGATTCTTTCTTTCATTTCTTCAAAAGGAATATATTCCACATTTGGATTGGGGGGCCCTCTTGGCTCAGGAGCTGAGGTTCTGAAATCATCCATTACTTTCTCCAGTTTAAATATGAAATAGCCTTTAAACTGAGACCACTGAACCCTGCAAAAAACACAAAACATATGCAAGTCAGCCCTAAACCCACAGAAAACCAGTGTAACTATGTTTGCAAAACAACATTCATGCTGGTTATGTTAGTTCTAAGATAAACGAGGCAAGTAATGCAGTATTATTTTTCTTCCTGAATTTAAAGCATGGTAACTATTCAAATAATTACAGAAGAACAATATTATGCAAGTCAATTGCCATTAACAACAGGGTAAGCCATTTCCTTTGAGAACCAATACCCACTTACAATTCAAACCTCAATGTGAAATATGTGCTTACTCTACACAGTTTACCAGTAAGTCTACATGCCACCTAAAGCCTTCACTGAGCACCCAAGAGAAGGGGGGAAAACCAAAAACAAGAAAAAAAGGAAAGGGAAGAAGTGTTCTCAGTCTGGAAACCACGCAGCAATTGTACACAGCATTATCTGCTTCAGTTACAAAATGTTACTGAAAGGCCTTTTGTAATTAACTGCTCAGTATCCAGGCACCTTAGAAGCATTTAATAGCACCTCTTTTCCTCAGAAAGGCAAATATTTTGTGTAACATTTAGAACTTGCTGGTGAACACTGGAGCAAAACAACTGACTCCTGAAAAACTTTCCCACAACAGTAAGTAATTAACGTCTTTCCAAAGTACCTTCTGCCTTACAACTTAGAAGCTTTGTCATTTACAGAATCCTATACATTGAGATTTTCAAGCAAATGTGTCTCACACTGCATACAATGGGCAAAGCGGGAAAGTGCTGAGAAAGCCCTTCTACACCCATCACCCTACACAACAGCCAGAAGTAGTTCTGGGCCTCCTTTGGCTACTGCATTTGTTAGCAGCATAGGGAGCAACTTGAAAGCAACCGATTTAGTTCACTTACTATCAATTTTATTGCTTTAATGCTGACGCAGGACAGGGATGCTGGTGGAGGCAAAGAAGAAATGGAGAATAACGAATCAACAGTAAAGAAAGAGAGAAACTATCTTTGACATTAATCTGTAGCATATGCAATCTGGAAGAAGAGGTTCAGATCAAACAAGCACAAGATCTGAACTTTTGCTGAAAGAAATACTGCTTAGCCACAGGCTGTACTTCTACAGGCTGTCACTGGTAGCAGTTCTATCTTAAACAGCCCTGACTATTTTCAACCCTTTATAACATACGACCTTCTGCTGGGCTGACGCAACTGTCTGTGCTGTGAGCTACATGTGGTGACTCCCCAGCAAAGTGGCGACGCTTCTTTCCTGCACACTATTCCCAAGCACTAGTACTACCAAATATAAACCCACACACCAATGAAGTTACATTTGCCTACCCTCTCCAGAAACACACTGCCATGTTATCTTTGCCTTCATTTTCTCCTTGGTCTCAAAGAAGTGATTATGAGATAAAAAGGGGGAAAGCTTAGCTCAGGTTTACCTACAGAGATTCAAATAACCCTCAGCCTTTTATTAAGAATGATAAATTTGCAAGAATGGGTGAATCTGATGAGGAAAGCAACTTCCATTTTCCTTACAAGAAACCATTAAGCACCTCACAACAGAGAGCACAGGCTGTAGTGAATAACAGAACCAGAAATTAAAATGGAAAGTAATAAGAAACAAGGTCCCAGAAGAGAATGTCATAGATACATTAAACAGCATCATTGAGCAAAACAACTGGATTATTGCTCCAATAAGCATTATACAGGCAAAGCTGAATACTATGTTTCCATTGTACAGTATCAGGCATTACTACTACAAATGTTAAATTAAAAAGCTATCCAACTCTGCAGTGCTACCACCATGATACCAAAGCTTGCATTATAAGCCACAGATTTCAGACATAAGTGCATCACAAAACACACACAGAAAAGACCCAGTAAATAACCCCATGCCAGAGTAAGATTACTCCCAACAGAGCATCCCAAGAGCTTTACTTGCCTCATGAAATAAGATTCCACTATTATTCTAAATATTCTTTGACATCCCCATTTGGATATTTTTTCCACACTTTAAAGCTTGAGCTGTTCTTTGTTTTCATTGTTACTTCTTTCTTGCTAAATATTAAGACTTTTCTTTTCACAGACTATTAACCCAGTGTTGTGTTGCTGAAATAAACCAAAGTCTAAAATGGCAACCTACTGCCTAACAGCAGAACCCACCAGCTCCTCTTTACAGACTTTAGAGACTGAAGTCTAGAAAACTATCACTTGTTTTAACCCATGTAATTTGATTTAGTGTTTCCTCTATTATAAAAAGACTAAGAACTTGCATCTCCAATACACTGCACTACTGATATAAAAAGCCTCTTTCATCCTGTATTTCAAATATACAGTGACTGCGAACCAGGTGATACAGCCCAGCTTACAAACAAAAACAGCAGAGTTTAAGGATAAACTGATCCCGCAGTCATAAGTCTGACTACAGCTAACCCAGACATAGCAACACCAACTTCAGATCAACTAAACAAGCTGTTGCTAGCAGCAGTGTAACCACAGCTGCAGGAGCTCAGGCCAGACTTGCTGCTTAGGCATTTACTCTTTCTCAAGCAGGTTTTTCTCACCACTGCTGAATTCCCTGCTGCTGGGGCTGCACTACTAGCAGTGTGAAAGCTAACCGGTTAAAAGCAAGTGTTATGTTCACATTTCAAACCATAGATGGAAGCAGTTGTTTATGGTACAAAATGCAGTTTCAAGACAGAGGTGTCTCATGCTTCTAGATCTCCTGAGCTCAGTGTTGTAATTTAGACATTAAAATACACTCCCATTAGGAGGATGGTCTTGAAGCACTTTCAATCTATGCAACTAGTTTCTAATGAACAGTTTTATCCTAGTAGCAGAAAGTTACACAAACTCCATCCACTCAACAGGAAGTAGTATTTGTACCATGAAGACCGAGTCAGCTCCAGACTCACCGATCATGTAGACAAAATTCAGTCCTGCACTGAAAACACACTGGATTCCTGGACAGCAGGAAGAAAGAGTAAAGGTTTCTGGAGTCTACAATGCAGGTCACTTTTCTCTTTTAGGCCTGACACCTCTATCATCATCCTAAGATGAAGAATCCCTAAACTGTGCACAACATCCTTCAGTTACCTCCTATCTGCCAACCCAGTAAGCAGCAGTCCCTCCTCCCCTCTTTCTTTCCTCATCTACTTACCATTCTCTGCCATTCTTCTAGAAAAGGAGCACAATTACACACTATTCCTACATAAGAAAATACTTGAAAAGTAAGGGGGAGCAGTGCTGGAAAGCTGATTTCTGCTTTCACCCAGAACTGCAACTGCTTCCCTTTCCTTCAAATCCAGTTCCTTCCTCTGCAACAGCAGCATCTACCACAATGTTATCTGACAGTGACAGTCCACCTCCTACACAGCCGTGTACTCTGCCTCTATCTTAAGGTAACTCTGAACAAGTACTCAGAAAAGAAACATAATACACAAGAAGGATTTACATAAAAAAATCTTAATTCAAGCAAGCTTAATTACATGTGTTTGTTAAAGAAACTTATCTACACTTGTGATAAAGTCAGAACACTTAAAATTGTTTATAAAAGATTACACTCAAATCAACCTACAAAACTGAAAAGAATCTGGCTTGTATCTGAAAAAAAAAAAAAAACAACATAATTTTAAATTAACTCACTTCTGACCAAAAACCTTTATTTCTGTAGGGACAGTAAAATTTGCTTGATTTCCATTTACTGCAGTGGAAGCAATCAAAAAGAGGGAAGTTACCTTTCCTGTTTTACCAGTCTATAAAAATGCCAGGGAGAAGCTGGTATCAGCTGAATACTTGAAACTCGCATCTCATCCACAGAGAAAAATAATTCATACACAATGGGTAGAACTAATAGCCAATACAGAATAAAATTTAAGATTAAAAATGTCATATCCTCCTAATTATCACAGCAATCCGTAGCTACACCTCTACACATTAAGTTATCAACATGCACTGAAAGTCTGGCCACTTAGGTGGACAGCACTAGTGAGAAGAGAGAAACAAATGGTAAACACCAGTTGTCAAGAAAAGAAAAATTCGTCCACATGTATCACGCTCCTCAAGCACAATTCCAGCATTAGGATGCAAGACCTCTATTGTAGCTGATTTGTTACCAAATAGGAGACACTAAAAATGAGCAAAGTTTGGTCAATACGTTCTGCAGTTAAATCAAGAGCCAAATGGAAGTGGAAGATCACTCTCCTGCACAGCTTTATGTACAGCTCATTAAGTTTCATTCACTGGAAAATAACTGACCAACACTCTGTAACAAAACCAAGTTGAAGAAATTCCATGGAGAAAATGCTATTCATGCTTTCTTCTGAGCAGGCTTCTTAATAAATACTTGCTCTTCCCACTCAGCAGTGTACATAATCAGCCTTTTCTAAACACATACTGATGTCTTCTAAAACGTGCTTTTCCTGCCTGCTAACTTTGCTGTTAGCAACTTTGAGAGCTCTTTTATAGTCACTTAGAAAATAAAAATCCTGTGAACATTGTATGATCTGTAATATTATCTTCAGAAACAATGCTTCAAAAAAATCAGCATTTGGGTTCAGTGGACTCCCATTCTATTGTAGACAATTAAAGCATTGAAGCTGTTTGCATTTTATGTCTATCTAAAGCACCTTTCACTACAGTACCTGGGTCATCCTATGTAAATATATCTGTACAAGGACATCCCTCCTGAGCTAAAGAGCCTGTAGTTCCAGATACTTCAAATCATCATAAGCTGGCATTTTTTCTTAAGAGTCCTCTGCTACCCCTGGGCCAGCTCCTGCACCATCCTTCCCTTAATAGCAACCTAAAGGTTTTGTGCTGACATACAGGGAGTAAGATGAAGAAACTGATTTTATTAAAAAAGCACTTAGCAAGGAAAAATGTCACCACAGGCAGTAATGAATGGCTGAAAAGAAGTCCCAGAAGCACACCTCACAACTAGAGCTTGTATAAATACATATATACGGTAGATATATACCGTAGCAGAGCCACACACCTCAAATTCTCCCAGGACCAACGTAAGC